CCTGGCCCATCTGTCTCTCCCAGTCCCACCCCACTGGCCACCTTCTAATTAATTTCCTTTCAATGTGCATGAATTCGTGCACCAGGCCTCTAGTTTGTCATAATCCCCAACATAAAATCTGTGTCCATTAAACAGGAATTTCTTATTCTCCCATTCCCCACCCTGTTCCCTTAGCCCAGTGGTTCTCAACCTTCTGGCCCTTTAAATACAGTTCCTCATGTTGTGACCCAAGCATAAAATTATTTTCATTGCTACTTCATAACTGTAATGTTGCTACTGTTATGAATCATAATGTAAATATCTGATATGCAGGATGGTCTTAGGCGACCCCTGTGAAAGGGTCGGTCGACTGCCAAAGGGGTCGTGACCCACAGGTTGAGAACCGCTGCCCTAGCCTGTTTAAACCTTTATTCTTTATCTCTCTATGAATTTATCATTCTAGGTGCCTCATATAAGTGCAATCATCCAATGTTTGTCCTGTGTGTCTGGCTTATTTCAGTGATTCATACATTTTGTAGCATATGTAAAAATGCCATTCCTTTTTGTGACTAATATGCCATTGAATGTATATGGGTAGGCCCCTCTTTCCAAAAGATCCCGTTAGCCTCCTCCCTTTTGCGTAAGATCAGAATTAGTACGGTAACAGCTTTTATGTAAAAAATCTTCGGATTTCCTTTGGTTAGCAAAACCAGGTACTAATGTAGGTCTTTCACAAAAGCAAAGTGGTGCAACTGCACTTTTGTAAAGCGAAGGATACTCTTTGCTTGATGCCATTTCGGCTTATGAAAGGTTTCATAGGAACACCCTCATTTCCGACAGCAGCGTACACCACATTTTATTTTTCCATCGCTGGACTACAGGTCCTTTCCACTTTTGACTATTTGAATAATGCTGCTGTGAACTTTGGTGTACAAATATCTTTTTGACTCAGAGTTGTTAAGCCTAGGATGGAGAAAGGGGATAACGAGATGATAGGTAGACAGTTATTTTTTAAATATATTTTATTGATTTTTTACAGAAAGGAGGGGAGAGGGATAGAGAGTTAGAAACATCAATGAGACAGAAACATCGATCAGCTGCCTCCTGCACACTCTGTGCCCGCAACCAAGGTACATGCCCTTGACCAGAATCGAACCTGGGACCCTTCAGTGCACAGGCCCACGCTCTATCCACTGAGCCAAACCAGTTAGGGCAGGTAGACAGTTATTTTGCTGGAGACTTTTTGGGGCCAGATGCTGAAAAGAATTACTAATAGTAATGGTTCCTTCAGTCCTGGGACATCTAGTAATTTTAAGAGGTCTTAATTTCCAGCCTGTTCACGACCCCCCCCCCCCCCCGCCCCCCCCCTTAATTTTTAGGGGAAGATTCCTAGCCTCTATTGTGGTGACTAACTTTCTAGAGTTTCCCAAAATATCAGTTTTCTTAGTGGTTTCAATTTCCTTTTTTAACAAAGTCTTTTGGCTATAGGGCAGATTGAAAAGATTTCTTTATCCTATTAGCACATGTGAATCCTTTTGGAAAATCTTAGCCTGATCTGAGCTCAGAGCTGCTGAAATTTAAAAAGATCTTAGAGAGTATCCAGTTCAGGGGTTCTTAAATCTTCTGACAGGCAGAGTGATGGGATCAGCACAAATTTGTATGAAATTGAACTTGTATGCAAATTTGTGCTCTATTGCTTCCAACACATTCTCAAAATATCTGAGACCCAAACAGGTAAGAGTCCAATTGCTTATTTTAACAGGAGAGGCAAATGAGGTCACATTACAAGTTCCCTGATGTAGTGGGAAAGCACTGAAGAACAAAGGTTTTAAACTAGGCTCTGTAGAATTCTATGAGATGCTTCAGTGATTTTATGACTAATTGATTCAAATTCCATTTTTAAAGTGATAATAAATAGCACAGGGCCCTTGAAACAAAATGGAGGAACTAAGGGAATGTAGAGCCTGATTTAAGGCTCTAATTTCCTTTTATAACTTCAATTACTATTTTTGTTTTTAAAACAGCCTCATTGATTGACATTAAGTAAATGTTATAAATGTGAATTTAAGAATTTATCCTGATAAGACACTTCAAATCTTTTACCAGTGTACAGTTTCCTTTGGAAAAAAAGAGGATGGAGTTTCTGCTAAAAAGTTTGAAAACCACTGGTTCACTATTTACTAGCTGAGCAACCTTGGGAAGACCCGGTGTTGTGAAGATCACCGAAATAATGTAGTTTAAAGGGCCCTGTAAGCTTAAAGGTCCATGGAACCCGGGTATCCTCCAGCTCAGGCTGGTGTTGTAACATGTTATGGTTACAAACCCCCAATCTACTACCCTCACCTGGACTGAACTTTGGCCTAGCTCTGATGGCCCAAAATGAAAGTTCAAATTTAAGGCCTGTTTGGGTTGGAGTGCAAAGTTTCACTAATCAAATGAACTGTCAGTCTTGTGAAGGTGTTTTCGGTATAAAATGACTGCTGCTGGTCTGGTGTATATGGGGGTGGTGGAGGCAGGCACTGTCCCTGTTCCACGGAAATGCATTTAGACATCCTGAGTCTTTGGCATTAGACAGTTCCATGTTTGAGCCCACCTCTGCTCCTTACCAACCATGTGACTTTGGGTAAGTTTTAACCTTTGAGCCCCAGTATCCTCATCTGTAAAATGGGGACAGTAAAGTATCTTCATCAAGCTGTTGGGGATAAAATGATAGAATGTATGTACAAGTATTTGAGCACAGAGCTGGGTACTTGGTGCTCCACAAATGGAAGCCACTAAGTCAAGACAGTTTTTCAAAGGTTGAATGTTGCAGGTTAACACCCAAATGATTAATCTCATATCATTTATTTGTCTCTTTTTAAAGTAGACGGTATGCCTGTGTGATTAGCTGGGTGATGGCAAGAAGTGAGTTCTATCCTGTTTGGATTAAGGCAAAGGGAAATGAAAGCAGCCAAGGATTCAGGGGATGCCTGGATCTCAAATTCCCAGGGGAAATGTGTGGGCAGGTGCAACAGAGGGAGAGATGGCAGATGGACTACGGTAGCCTCTCCTCTTCTTCCTGCCCTGGAAGAGCACGTAATAAAGCCAAGACAGGCAGCCCAGGACTGGAGGATCTGCTGTGCCACTTCTGAAAAATGAAAACCACACACACTAAATGCAGAAAGAAACAGCTCGCACCCAAAGAAAGTTGGGACAAGCTCGCTCTTTATTACATACAGCATTGGGAGGGGAGACTGCTTGGAACACACTCTTGCACTCACTCTCTCATCCTAGACCTCCTCCCTCCCAGGCGATTTCATTCCAGACTCTGGGCTTTGAAGACACAAGGCAGAAAAGCAGAGACTGCTTGGTATCTGGAGACAGGGAAACTCAAGGAACAGAAAGCATTGTTACTCTAAGTCCGGGAAGAGATTTTCAGCAGGTTGTTTTCTGGTCCTCAGTGGTCAAGGGTGAGCCACGACACAAAGGAGATAAAATCATTATTTTCAAATTACAAATGCCACTTGAGTTCAATCATATATATCTCATAAACTAAGCCTGGAATTAGGATACACGGTGGTTTGAGGTTTTCTAAAATAAACGTGGAAATGGAGTGTAGGGGAAGGGGACCCTCGCAGGCTAGGACTGACAGTGATCTGGGTAAGGACAGAGATGAAGAGCGGCTCTGGGTAAGGAAGCAGCTATTTTTAGATTTCTCTAGGTGAACTCAGCCCCAAAGAGGAGGTGACACAAATGTCACCAGCCAGAATTCTAGACCAGTAAGAAGAAAGCAAGCTTGCTCAGTCACAGGTGCTTGTGAAATAAAAGGTGCCTCCTAATATCACAGATTAAGCAACTGCGGTTCAAAAGGGCTAACCACTTCCTTTTTCAGCATCAACATACATGATAGAAAAAGAACAAGTAGGCAAATGAAAAAGATAGACATCTATATAGATATCCTCAGTTTGACAGGGTTTTCCCAAGCTTATTGGACATGACGTGCCCAATATATTGTGAATTCTTTACACATTTAATGAATGAGATAGATAACTGAGATATTTCCCAGAATGCAATAATTAATAGCATGCAGAGAGTAAAATACAATGGTTTTCTGAAGATTTTTTTAAAAAAAAGTATTAGTTCTTAGGCTATTCAATTGGCTATAAAGACAACTATTTGTAGAACTCAAATTTTTATTTAAAAAATCAAAACTATTTAGGATCTGATATATGAAGATAGGCAAAAGTGAGAAAAAAGCACTTGCGTGACAGGTATTTAGCTAATTTGAAGGGCCACATTATTTCAAAGGACCCCTATTATAGTGGATTTAAAAGTCTTTCAAAGGTTAGGGTAATCATTTTCATTGATCTTGACCTTCCTCCAGAGCTGACAGGTACTGGCAAGAGAATGCCTAGTCTCGTGAGGATTATTTTGAAACATGGTTTGGATTTAGAAAGTAAACGGATGTTACAAAATTGCCTGAAGTAAGATTCCCCGGAAGTAAGGCACATGTGGCCCAGAGAAGCTGGTTGTAGCTTAAGGTCACTGTCTTTTGAAAGCATTTGTCCAGCCAAGGGTGTCAGGTAGTGGTTTCCTTTGGCTCGGCTCCTGATAGAGGGTGTGGAATAATTCCATGAAAGTCAAAAAAAGAGGGCGTTAACCTAGTACATAATGATCTAAAAATGTGGAGTTCAGTATTTAAAGAGTAAGAGATTATCTTATATAAATCTCTCTCACACACAGTATTTACAAGCTGACAATCTTTACCTGTTGCTAGGATCCCTGTACATTCTAAGAACATCACTCTCAATATATGGAAAAGGAAAGGGAGAGAGAATAGTCAGGGTTCCCACCCTGCCCTCTCCCTAGGGGTTAAAGGCTTATTTGGTCCCCACATCATCCTCGAAGGGAAGAGCTCATCTCTGTGTTGGCCTCTAGGCCTCACTGCTTTCCCCTCATCATGCCTTGCAACATATCTATGGGCAGAGGGAAGACAATGGTGGAGTTTTTCTCAGCAGCGATGGTGGTTAGTGTCTGAAGGTACCGGAGCTGAAGGGCCGCAGGAGATTCACTGATGACTATGGAGGCTTCTTTCAGAGCCCTGGATGCGTTCATTTCTCCCTCGGCTGCAATGACCTGTGGAACAGCAGAAGGAAGGATCAAACTGAAGAAAACAGCAGGTGCCAAGCAGCAATCGCAAAACTTTCCAGGGAGTAGGCCAGAATAGTTTTAAAGAAATCCACTTCCAGTTACTAGTTTCCATGTTCTTTTTCCTATAAGATATCCTTTTTTACTATTGCCTTTCTCCCATTTTCCAGGGCACCAAACAAAGAGACAATTCAAAATACTGTGTGTGGGTTGAGAAAGTGAATGACTCTTATGACTGCATACACATATATCTGCAAGTCAGAGAGATCACCAATTCTTGGATTTCAAAGAAAGGAAAGAAGACCTTATCGAACTGAAACATGCTAGATCATTAAAAATATTTTTTGTGTGTGTGAAAGATCACTTTATTATTTTTTAGCACATAAATTCAGAGGCAATGCCAAGAATTGCATGACATTAAACCTCCACTTTCATCTATTTATTTATTTAAACAAGTTTTCTTAGTCTTTATACCTATAAAAATGAAAAGTAATAGAATTGATGCTGAGTCTTATCTCATTCTAGCAATAAGTAACGGCCATCTACATGAATTCATTTCTCATTCATCTCATTAAGAGAAGCATTTCTAGTAAAAACTTATGTATTTAGGAGAAATTCTGAAACATTTATAGTTTGTAATCAGAGGAAGTAAAATAATTTTAACTTATAGGCTAAATGTGTTGCAGTAGGGCAATAAAATAATTCATGAATAAGTAGATTATATTAGGAAAAGAAATTCGTGGTAGTGGTGAAATGGAAATATAAGTTCAAGGAGAAAAATGAACCATGAAAAATTCCTGGTTGTTAAAAAGAGCTTATTCACATATTTTTAAATAGATGATGAAGTCATTATGTTATTTAAATTTCGCTGGATACATTTTTTAAAATGATGTTAGCAGGTTATTTTAAAATATCAATATTTAAAACATGCCAGGAATTACGCACTTGACAGTATATAAATTTTAAATGAGAAATGTTATATTCTATTTAAAATGTGTGATGAAACAACCGTTTTCCTAAATTCTTTTAGGATTACATGGGAAAAAACGTTTGAGATTCTGAAGTAGTGGGGAGAGTAGGGCCTTTGGACTTAGATGAACTTGAATTCACATCCCAGACCTCCCCCTTACTAGCTGAATGTCCTCAGGTTATTTAACATTCTGAGCCTCAGTTTCTTATTCTTAAAATAGAATAACACCTACTTTATAGGAGGAAGACAGAGAAGGTATATTAAGTGTTGATGTATGAACAGAAGCTATTCTATAGGAATGGCAAGTGACAAGTCAGGACTTGATTTTTGGATCTATTCATAAAAGATTCAAAAGCCAAATCAGCCCTGGCAGTTAGCTTTAATTCATAATCCTAAGAGAAGAGGTATAAATATACCATAATCACCAATATTAAAAGTACAGTTTCACTAGGTTGTTCTCATGGATCTAAAAATATTAATGGTTTGTAATGTTCCTGTGAATATCAGAACAGAAAGCCATGGTCTTATGAGCAGTGAAATTTCATTCTCTTCTCTAGTAAACTTTAGGGGCCTCCTAGGTGTCAAGCCCCATGCAGGGGCTATGGGACAAAGCAGGAACTTCCTTGCCTCCCTCAGCTCCTGGACAAGTAAGGAAGACAGCCATGGAAATAGGTCACTTCACTGCAGCGCAGCAAATGCTGACAGAGATCTGTATGAGGCCCAGGGCTGCACCACCAGGAAAGCACTTTGTGCAGAGGGTGAGGTGGTGAAGTGATAGAAGTTCAACATTATAGAATGAAAGCATTGTTGTTTGGATTAAGATGAAGTTTGCAAAAGCTGGTGTATTCCAAAAAAACTCTTGAGTGCTGAATAGTGCATGAGGAAGAGGGGAAAGGTAGGGGGGAACGGGCAGATCTGGAGGCCGGTGGAGGCCAGGGCATTGGTCTTCATTCTACAGGCAATGGGAAGCCACTGGAAGGTTTTATGTAGATAACCTAATCAGATGCAGGTTTGAGAACACACCGACAGATATCTGAGGGTCGAAGGGAAGAGACTGAAAGCTGTTAGTGGAAGTGCTTCAGTGTGGTTGGTGCAATTCACTGGTGTTGGGGACAGAGGAGGAGATGGATGGGGGCTATTCAGGAGGGAGAGAGGATTCTGGAGGCGGACTGTGTATGGGGAGGAAGAAGGCACAGAGGCTGAGTCCCAGGTTTCTAGGTTTCGGCCTCCTGGATAGTGCCATTCAGTGAGAGAGGGGATACAGGATATGGTATTTACTGAGAGAAAGGACCTTTTAGAGGATAAAGAGCTTAATCTATCAAGACAAACCATTATGTCCTACCTACGTCTGTGAGATGGGGCACGTGCCAGATGTGCTCAAAGAGAATCCTGTAACTGCTCCACGGCAAGCACAGTAGAGAGTGCACAATACACCTGCCACGCGGTCAGCGGGCTCTGATTTTTTTCCATGTCATCTCAGATGTCCAATTAGGTACTTTTTTTTGGTCTGGACATAGACCAACTGCAAAGATACCTCATCTCCCACTATCAATCAATACACGATCTCTTGGCAGGGAAGCCAGACCCACCAGGATGGACACACATTTTGTTAATAGAAAAGCTGCTCTGAGGGAGCTGCCAGAGATGTGAATCCAATACCACTGGCTTTGTCTAAATATAGGCCAAGTATACAGTGTGGATAGGATCTTAGAAGTGAAGCAAGAAGCATGTGGGGCTTTTGCCAAATGCACAGAAATCCCATGTCAATAAACACTTTATATTTATAGACCATCGTTTTAAAATTTGGTATTTTCAAGTATGTGGGATTGGTACTGCTGCCTCCTTCAGCAGCCCAGGTGGGCTAGGCTGGGAGAAGGGCAGAGAAAGGCGATCTGTATTTTTGCACTCCACCCTCTCAATTAACAGATGACCAGGCCAGGAAATAGGAGCTTGAAAGCACATCACACATTTTTCTGAGGGTCATGAAAAAGGAAATAAGGAAGAAAGCAGCATAAAAGAGATTACATTTCAAGCCATTAGGAGTTGATCTAAAAACTTGAAAGAGATTCAGCCAACATACTGTAAAACTGGTGGGAGAGTCTGCCTTTTGTGACTGGCTCCTTTCTCATTATTTTCAGGAGCACGCACTTGTATGCTCACTCACCTTGTATAGTATTCCTTCATTCCAATAAACCATACTTATCCATGCAACTACCAACGGACATTGGGGTAGTTTCCAATATTCCCAGCAGAACTTCAATTACAAAGTTCTGAAGATTCTTAGAGCCAATTCCAAGCAGTTGAGGATTGTTGCCTAGAGTGCTAGAGAAGGTCAGGTCTAAGCTCAGTGGAAAACAGTGCTGTGGTTAATTACTGGCATGGGAATAGGAGGGCAGAGCAGCGGCTTCTGGGCCAGGTATTTGTCACCTTCAGAAGATCATCTCTAAGGGCCCTTTGGGCTGATAGTCTATGTAGTCTCTGTATGACAAATTTTGATGAGTTGAATATGAGGCTTTTGGTTAATGACATATTCCAGGTATAGGTGATTCCTAATTTTCAAAATAAGTAGATTCTAGTAGGGCATATGTAACATTATCACAAATATAATTTAGTCTTATGTGATGAGTTTGAGAGGAAGCACTTGGAAGTTCTGTAGTGTCCTCAGGATAGCATCACAAGCATCAATGACCACATTAGAAAAACATAAAATGTCTGGTTAGTAGAACATTCTGGATATATTGTGTCAAATGAGCTACTATTCTATTTGGGGTTGGCTAAGGAATTACAGTGACCCATTTGTGGCTTAAACGGCATTCTAAGAGAATGGCAGGATTCTGTGGTTAGCCAGTTATACCAGCTACTGCTATTTTTCCAACAACAATGACAAACTGGTCTGCTCCTGTGTCTTGGGAGCTCTGTCAAGTCCACAGTAATGCCTCCTACCAAAACTCTCCTATTCCTCCACACCTTCACCGGCAAGGGGCTCTGCGACCTGATTAGCACCTGATTTTACCCTTTGACCCAAGTTGGACCAAAGATAATCTCTCTGCCTTGAATCTGGAATCAGGGCTGGTCTGTCTCTGTCACTGTTCAACTGGAGCCAGACAGTCTCCCCTTCAAACCATCTGCAGTGAGATTCAGCTCAGGAAATGAAATGACTCACTCCCTTCAGTCTTGACTCCTTTTAGTTCCTTGGCTCCAATGTTGATGAGGCTCGATTCTATTTCCTACCCTTGGGTTTGGTGAGATATCCCTGGGTCCTTATGCATTATCCTCTCAATGGATCCTCTTCTTTAGCTTAAGTCAGCAAGTATTGCCTTTAGCACCTCTCAGAGGGTCATGCATCGATGCAGGGTTCAGACATAGGCAGGGATGATGATGAAAAGAAAGAGGGGAAAGAGCAGACACCAAAGAAAGAAAAGTGAAAAATAAACAAGGACAGAGGAAGAGGAAACAGGAAGAAGAAAGAAGATACAGAGAAAAGAGAGAAAGAAAGAAGACAAAAGAAATGAACGGTAAGCAAACCGATGAGGTTGCCCATTTGCTCTGAAGTCAGAACTGTAATCTGTCCTTTATAGGCAATTGGGAGACTAAAGTACAGAAAATGGTCAATAAAGTAATGAGGTAACTGTGTGTACTGCTATGTCCACGTGATGTGAAGCAAAAAGAGCAAGGTGCAGAGCAATATGCATAGTGTGACCTACTTCTGTAAAACAAACAAGCCAACAGTCTAACAACCTAGTCAGATAAAACCCAAATAAACCCCAAATAATAACCGGAAGTGAATACACTAAACTGTTAAGAGCGGTCACCTCTGCAGAGATACCATTTAAAGTGACAGGGAGAGGTTTTATCTTTACGAAATATTCAGGATTATTTCTAATTTTTATAACAAACATGTTTTGCTTTTTGTAATTAAAGAAAATTCAATAGGAAAAACAAACTAAAAAAAAAAAATGACCTTGGCCCGGGCCTCCCGGGATGCTTCCGCTTCGGCAGCCATAGCCCTCTGGAGCTGCACAGGGAGTTTCACGTCCTTAATTTCCACACGCTCCACCTTGATTCCCCAGTCATCAGTGGCTTCGTCCAGGGTACTCTGATGGGAAGAGAGAAGGCAAGCTAAAGTGTTCAGCCCCAGTCCAGAGGCCCAAGGTTGCTGTATGCATTGGGACTGGGAGCAGATAAGGCGCTGGCTCACTAAGGAGCTGACCCTGATTCTGTTATTAATAAGCTAATGCAGGCAAACTTTCTCTAAAAAGACCAGATAGTAATTATTGATTCTCAGATCCTCTGCCACAACTATTTAACCCTGCCACTGTAGGTCAAAAGCAGCCATGGGTAATACATCAACCAATGGGTGTGGCTGTATTCCAATAAAACTTTACTTC